GTTCTCTAATAAATCCACCCACAACATCAGCTAAGTCATCTCCATGCCCGCATTCAAATAAGTCTATACCTTGTACATCTATATATGTAGACAACATCGTGCTAGTCTTGCTGAGATGCCCAATGCCTTTTCTTGGTGACTTAAGACTAGGGACAAGCTTTAGGCAATAGACGTGTAGTGTACTTGAGTCCTCGTGATCATGATCCCATGATAGATCTTCAAGTGAATACCCATTCTATAAGAACCCGCACCGTTAAATTAGGAATTTTAATAAATTAAATGTGAGTTTGAGAAATAATTCTATAATTGACTTTGAATAATTATGAGATGACTTAAATAATTAATGCAACCCTGAAAGTCGCTTTTCAGATGAAAAACGCGGATATCGGTTCTGCTTCACAATATATATGCGTACCGGAGAAGTATCCCAGAAAATTATAATAAGTATATGAATATTCCTAGAAAAATACTTAGGTCAGATATATCAAGTTTGGAGTCAAAATAATGCGTACTGACATCAGAACTGATACCGGCTACGTAGAAAATGCGTACCGGCAAAGTGCTGCAAAAATTATAATAAAAATATGACAAATCTTAGAAAAATGGCTAGGTTAAGAATCTGAAGTTTGAGGTTAAAATGATTAGCGAAGCTATTAGCACTAATACCGACGGATTAAGTTAAGCGCACCTATATAAGTAATGGCACAATAACCTATGTCAGTTTTCCCTGACTTCTACGTGAGTTTTCTGGTTATCTTGGCTGCTGCGACCCTTCTTCCACCACCCCATTGCCTTTCTACTCCATAGAAACCTTCAAGAGGCCACCTTTCCTCTTGATTCCTTCATAAAACCTCCATTGTGGAGTGTGCATAAGTCTTGAGAGGTTGAAAGACACCTAATTTTTGAGTTTCAGTTACTGTTTGGTGAGAGTTGTGAGCTGACTTCTTGGTTGTTGAGTTGGGGAGCCATTTTGTTGACACTTGTGGCTTCAAGAAGCCATCTTGCGGGTAAAGGACCAAGTTTGAGGATTCATTTTCGTAGTCTTGTGAAGTCAGAACCATAGAGCTGTGTAGGAAGCTCCAAGACCACTCGTTTACTCTGTTTTGAGCCATTGATTGTGATTGCACTGGTTGGTGACCGTGGACTTGTGAAGACTCTTTGTTGGTATTGTTAGCTTGCGAGGTAAGCTTTCGTGTCCTCGGTTTTGCCCATTGTTGGTTCCACCATACCTCATGTAGGGATGGTTATATGCACGATGTGTTTTCTGAAAATATGTGATGAATATTGATATGCTATTGAGCTGATTTTGAATGCAACTGCCATATGATATGTATGTGGTGTTCCACCTAGACGACAATCTCTGAGTGTGTGGAGACATACAAGATGGTAACTCCGTGGGTGAGGTACAAGAGTACTGTGGGTTGTAGACGCACGTAAGTCCTACCTTTTATTCTCTGCCCAGTAGAGTGTATATACACACATGACATGGATATATGCTGCATTGCACGGATTGTGAAATTATGATGATATTATGCTTTTGAACTTATATATCACATGTAAGTAAGCTTGGGGTAGAGAGATCATTGAGGACCCCTTGTCTTACTGAGATTTCTTTTTAAAGATCTCACCCCGTGTTGGGGCACATTTTCAAGTACAAGTACCTCTGAGGTTGAGACTTCTGGTGGCAGGAGGCCAGAGTTGAATTGATTATGCATGCTGCTTTTCTGATATGCCTGGATATTGATTATGCTTTACTTTCAGTGTATTGTTATTTGATTTGAGACATTATTTGGCTATGTGCCTTATTTGGTGAGCATAGGGATTGTCCATGCCACATTGATATCATACATGTTTGTTATATTTGAGTTGTATAATGTATCAGGATATTGTTCGGTGTACGTGTTGTAGTTCTGTGACTAGATACACATATTGAATGAGGTTATTCAGTGTAGTTACTATTGCAAGTTACATACAAGCTATATTTTGGAAAAGAATCAGTCAATCCATTTGGTTAATAATAACAATTCATAATTAAAAAAAAAAGTTAGCTTCCGCATTTAATTAGCTGCGCTATTACTGTATGTATGTTTAATACATCGGGTGCACACATGGTGCTACACATTCTATCTCTATGGCCTTTATCTTCAAACACATATTAAATAACCGTCATTTAAAAGGCAAGAGAAAATATGACAAATATAAAGTATGTTCAAAGTAAATTAACATGAAATGCCAAATAGTAACAATTGTTCATCTGAAATAAGATTGTCTTTATGACTCTTACATACTAACATAAAACTGGTCCTAAATCTTAACCCTTTATATAAGCCAAATTTCTAAAAAATGTAGACCATTCTTAACGAATGAACGAATAAATAAAATTATTATCTGATAGGGATAAGCTCAAATAAAAACACATCAAATTTTAGCCCACAAAATAAGGATAACCAAATACAAATAAACAAAATTGATTATTTAAGCTCAAATTCAAAATACCTTCCAAATTTTAGCCCTAAAAAAAATATAAGTAATTACAAATAAATAAACTTATTATAGGATATAACCTTAAGTTCAAAACATGTAGAGATCTTAGCTATCAAAATAAGCTAAATTTTGTTGAAGCCAAATTTCATGAAAACATGAGCCATTCTTAACAGGACATAATTTTTATTGCAGCTAAATTTCTTGAAACAATTCATTGGTTACTTCTAAGGTTCTCTTCAAACTTTTGTAAGTTGACCAATTAGGATTCGGACTAGATCCCTTAGGGGTGTTTGGTATGGAGAATCTGATAGGAATATTGGAAAAGTGATGTAGGTAAAATATATTAAGTATGTTTGGTATGTCTTCAAGAAACAAAATACCGGTATATTATTGTTCCGTGCATTTGGTTTTGACCTAGGCAGTGGAAAAAATAGTCATTTGACGTGTGGTATTTTTTTTAATCCGACTAATGGAGAAATGTTATTTACGATTTGTGGACAAAAATACCCTGAAATGTTATTTATGAGAATGCTGAGTTAATTTTTCTGATACAATATTTGGTTATTTTTGTCTGAAAAATTAATCTATATTTTTCCATCATCTTGAATTCTTAAAATACCATCATCTGGATGGTATTTTTCGGTGGTATTTTAATTTAGAAAACACATAAAATGAAATCTCGGAAAAATAATTTTATAGGAAAAAATTTCTCCAATATGTTACCAAATATAGGATTCTAGAAAACTCATTTTCACTTTCCCAAACATCTAAAAATATCTTCCTACCAAACACCGCTATATGTTCCTATCTTATTTTTCTTGACCTCTCCTCTTTCTTTTCACGGGAATTGCATTTGATTGTACTTGAGGGGGCGTTTGGTTGAGGAGAAGATTTTATGAATAATAGGGAAATGTGATTATTAGGGAAATGGTTAGAATATAAGTTTGATAGGAAAATGTAAAAAAAGTTGTTTGGTGGGATAAAATTTTGATGGAGAAATTAGGTAACTTTTATAAAGTCTATGTTTGGGTGTAGGTAAAATATAGATGGGAAAAAAGTTATTTTTACGAAAATAACCTCGTTTTGTTTTTACAAACTGGCACCGACCACATAATTTTATCATCCAATGAAGTCCAAGCCACCATATCCTTAACAGGCAATTCATCGAACAAGTCCATTGCAGACACCATATCCCCACTCTTGGCATACGCAACAATCAACTCTGTCTAAGAAACCACATCCCGTTCAACCATTTCATCAAACACCTTGCACGCACAATGCAAAAGCCCAGATTTCACATACATATCGATCATGGTGTTGTTGACATACAAATCAGAGTCAAACCCACCAACGAACAGTGTCTGGGCATGAACCTGCGCGCCCAAACTAGGATCGCGAACGACGCCACAAGCAGAAAACAGAGCAGAGAAGGTAAACGACATGGGATGGTGAAGAGAAGAGCAGAGAAGGTAAACGACAGAGCAGAGCAGAGAATGCATCCAATTTTTTTTGTTCCACCGAGTTACCTCCCACAAGGGGTACACTGGTCTTTTCTTTAGGTAGCCAAGTGAGTAAATATGGTGGTTTTCAGCAATACCACCTTGCAAAAGGGCAACTTTGGCCGGCAATCTCGGTAGAAAAAGATATGGAAATAGGTTTGGTAGCAATCACAGTTAGGTAGCTAAGTGAGGAAGCTAATTCAACCAAACGATGGTTTCATACATTCCCACTTCTCATTTATCTATCATTCTCAAAAGAATCCTTCAACCAAACAGCCCCTGAATGAATATTTGTTAAGGTTGATATTTCTTTATTTCATATTTTTTATTTTTTTTTGTCAGTTTTTGACCCAAATAAATTTTCCCTTTTTAGAAATACGAGACGAATAATTTCATATAGAAAATGAAACAATTATAGCCAACTTTTTTTATTTCTTTTAAATAGAATTGCACCACGTGCCAATGACATTATATTCATGAGAATCTCAAAAGTAAGACTATCCTTTAAATTCATCAGAGTCATCAGAGTACTTACAAGCCAAAACGTTAATACATCCGAAAATAAAATAATCAAACATACAGTAAAATGCATATGTTATATAGAAACACTCAAGAGAGAGGGTAACGAAGTGAAAACTCTATTACTAACCAGATTATTCGATTAATCAAGCTGAAATTAAAAAAACAAAAACCTTTAGCAATCAATCAATAAATAAATAAATAAAGAGAAAATTATTTGTCATTTTAAATAACAAAAAATTATGTCATTTTAAGAGAGTTACAGACACAGAAAATTTGAATTTTAAATTAAAAAAACCACCCACTTTCTCTCTCCCATGATTTCCGTTTTTCTGTGTTTATTTCTCTCTTAAAATAACATAATTTGTGTCATTCAAAATGACAAACAACGAACTCATAAATAAATAAAAAACGTAAGCCAAAGTTTTGTGTAACGAATGTGACAATCCTATATAAGCCACCGTTCCATGACTCTGAGCCACTATACTAACCCTAGTTGATTGCACTGACACTGAACCATTTCGCACCGCTTTGTTAGGCTCTATCTTTTTTTTCCAACTTTCCACGTTAAACCCTTTCATTTCTTTGCTGCACTCAAACCCTGCACGGTGAGTTACGCTGCAAGCACATTCAGCTCCACAAAGTTTCACCTGGGTCTTCCTTCTTTTCTGTTTTTGATGCTTTGTTTCGCAACCCACTAGGATAAAGATTTGGTTTTTAATTTTCTTTTCTTTTGGGGTGTTTTCAGAATCAGAAGCCACAGTGATTCATCAACCAAGCTACCATGTCAGACGATGAGAGAGAGGAGAAGGAGTTGGATCTCACTTCTCCTGAAGTCGTCACCAAGTACAAGAGTGCAGCTGAGATTGTTAACAGTGAGTTGCATTCTCTTTTTTCTCTCAAATTTTATTTGGGTTTTTTGTTTTTGGATACATTGGGTTCTTTATGGGTTCTTGTTATAACTGACTATTTTTGTGTTGATAAGTAATGGGTTTTTTCTTTCTTTCTTTTAATTAAATAGAGGCTTTGCAGTTAGTTATTTCAGAATGTAAACCGAAGGCTAAGATTGTAGACATTTGCGAGAAAGGGGATTCATATATTAGAGAGTAAGTTTTTTTTTATATTTAATTTTATCCAATTCTTTGTTGTTTTCTTTTACAATTAATTTTGGTATTTGTTATGGATATGTATAATTTCTCTCTTTCTTGTTTTTTTTTTTGTGATTTTAGCTTATGGGGTGTGCTGTGTTTTTTAATAAAGGCAAACTGGTAACATGTACAAGAATGTGAAGAGGAAGATTGAGAGAGGTGTTGCCTTCCCAACATGCTTGTCTGTAAACAACACTGTATGTCACTTCTCTCCTCTCGCCAGTGATGAAACAGTGTTGGAAGAAGGTGATATACTGAAAATGTAAGACTTTTTTCAAAGCATGTTTTTGTGATAAATAATGAAAGAAAGGACCCTACTTTTGGCTGTTGTTGGCAAACGGTAGTAATGGTGTCTTTGGTTGGTTACAGTGATATGGCTTGTCATATAGATGGGTTCATTGCTGCTGTGGCGCACACACATGTTCTTCAGGAGGGGCCAGTTACAGGACGGACAGCTGATGTCATTGCAGCAGCAAACACTGCTGCTGAAGTGGCCTTGAGGCTTGTAAGGCCAGGAAGGAAGGTAATCATATGTAAGAAATTTCTTCCTATATCTGCTTTTGTACAATCTGAGATGATATTTGATTTTATTACTTATAATCTTGTTTGCATATGCCTGAGTTGATTCTGTTAAATAGCTTTTATGCTTGGTTTGGTCTGTGTGATTAATGATAACATGGTTGGATTTCTTGCTGTAGTTATTTAGCTGACAACTTTTCCCCGTAGGAACTGATTGAACAGTTTAATTGCTTTTTGGCTCCCATTTTGCTGGTGAAAACTTGTAGCATTTATATTTTGAAACAATTGTTATGTATATTATGCTTCATAATGGTAATGAGACCGGTATCCACACATATTAATATTAGGCAACATAATCAGCCATTATGTAAAACCCATCAAATTGCTTGAGAAGGTTGCATCTTTTAAACCATTTATATATTCTCCTTTTCTGTTTCTGACATAATGTCTTGTTAAGTATTCTTAATGGATCCCTGGCATTCTTCACAAAACTAATGTATTTGTTGCCTGTATCCAGTTGTCGGCTTGCGTTACCTTTTTGTTTTCCCCCTGATTTTTGGTCTCGTCCTTTACTTTGTTAAATTGTCCATATGTAGTATATAGTGATTCCCTTCTCGTGAACTTTGATCTCTAAATGATGAAAATTGTCATGAGCTATGGGTAAACTCCAATGAAGCTTTATTGTCTTAGTTACACTGATAGAGACCTATTTTGTTTTTTTCTTCTTTTTAAATTGTGTTGTTTCTAATCTTATTCGCTTTTCTTTTTCTATTTTTTATTTTACTTGGTTGTCAGTTCAGGCCAATTGGATGTTATTTCCCCTGCATAACATAGTTCCTTTCATTGTTGACTGAAATCAGAGAAAAAATTGTATAGGATATATTTCATGTCTATTTCCAGTTTTCCACTTCCTTTAGAACTATTTCATTTGTAATTTTGATGAAATGATCTCTATATGATGAAAGATATTTTAGGCTGCACATGGACTAAAGTGATCAAAATTTTAAATAAAGTTATTGTTGTGGTGACATGGCAAACTCAATTGTTGTGGCAAACTTGATAGCATCCCATGAGACGCCGCACTAGAAGGTCTAGAGCCTTTAGCATAGTCTCCTACTATGAACATGTTTAATTTGGTTATTTTCATTGCGTTTGTATTCATTTTATATCATTACATGCAATTTGGATAAATAAAGTATCAATGTTATGTAAATAGTCATTATTTAAATGTTCTAGATGAATAAGAATAAATAATGTTATACATAAATAACAAAATGTAAAATGTCATACCATTAATAATAAAATAAATAATAATTACTATGTTCATTTTCGGTGTGATGGACATGCTCATTTGGAGATAAAAATGAATGGATGAGGGTGATGATTTGCCTCACGATTGTGGTTCCTTAACTACTGGCTCGATTAGAGGGGAGGCTGTACTATAGGGATCAACCATGATCGAGGTTCCTCCTATCCATCCCCTTATCACTATACAGCTATTTGATCGATCATATCAGGATAGAGAGCTGACACACCTATTATATCTCCTATTTTTGGGGCATCTTGCTATCTTCACATTCTATCCAGGGTACAATCATAACTGATTTTCTAGAGCTCGCGTTTGATGCTCATATCCCGAGTTTGTGGTTAGGGTAGACCCTAATTGTGAGACATCACCCTTTTTAGTGTTTTTTTATCTTCGGATGAGCAATATCATCACATCGAGAATGTCCATAGTGATTGATTTTATTATTAATTCTATAATATTTCACTTTTTGTTAATTATTGTCATGAACCAACTCTCCCCTAAAGCTTCAGAAGTTATGTGATGACACATGAATGGTTTTATATTACATCACTAACATTTATGTATGACATTGTTTATTGTTATTTATGCATGACATTTAGATAATGACTATTTACGTAACATTATTTTATTTAGTTGAATCACATGTGTTGATATAAAATGACTATAATGAATGTAACCGAATTAATCGTGTTAAGAGTGTGAGTGAGTGAATGAGGGTGGGATGGGGTTTATTTATAGGGGGAGGGAGTGGGAGTGGGATGAGACTGTAGTCACGTGACAGCAGCGTCTTTTTTTATTATTATTAAAGGAGTTAGAGCCTGCCATGTCTCTACTATGGTACCTTTTTTTTTTAAAAAAAATCAACCACTTTGGTCAATGTGCCCATTATAGGCTATGGATAAACACCGCCGAAGCCTATTTTGGTCATAGTTACACTGATGAAGAATCTTTTATCTGCTAGCAATATACCTGGACATCTCTTCTGTAATGCTTAGGGGTAGAAATAGACACAATCAATTTGGTCCTGCTTAATGTGTAATTGCAGACACCATAGGTTATGTGAATATCTCTTTTAGGGGGCCTTGCTATACTGCTGGAGGATCCAAATTCTCAAGTGATATACTTCCCTAGCATGTTATTAGCACCCGATAGATTTTTATTTAGTTTCAGTCGCAGAGTGGATTAAGTGCTTTCTAATTCACTTTTCAACAAGTTTCATGGAATTGTTTCTACTACACAGTCTAAGTTTGTCGGTATCAGATAACATTTTTTCGCATTGCATTTTTAGTTACCTTAAAGCAATACTTGCTGTGTGCTTCTTGTCATTTGTTTTTTGTTTCATGCACTATGGCCATAAGGAACCTTACTTTTGGTTGTTTGCAGGCAGAATCAGAACCTTTTTTGCACAATTTTTAACCCTATGTGATGAATACTTACTAAAAGCTATGGACAATTGTCCAAGTGAAGCTTATGTCATAGTTACTCTGATAGGGTGTTTATATTGAAAAACAATCTGGAGTTTAGTTTGCTAAATTGCTGGTATTTTTACAATAGTTTCAAGAAAATTTTTCTTTGAGAGTCACAGCCCAAGGAATACTTGCTAGCATTATTTACTATCTATCTAAAGATTTGTGTCTCTCGTTATTTACTTTCCAACTAATGCAATTGTTTTACTATTTTGTTTTTGGCGAAGCTTTCAGTTTCTTGGTACACTTGTGTGTGTTTCTTTAGTTAATATGAAACTTCAAATGTTGAAATTGCACTAGTGCTTATGTGGCTTTATTGCATGTGACTTCATAGTTTATAATTGACCACAAGATTGGAACCAGCTTAGTTGACAGCGTGATATAGTACTTTTACATATGGATAAAATTTCATCTTTTATTACTGGAAAAGTGAAAATTTTAGAAACAATTGTAATTTTTTGGCAATTTGTAGATAGAATACATATGAAAATGTAAGACTTAAAGTAGGTGGCATATTGGTCATATGTCGGGAGTTGACTGTGTGTCGAACATGTGTCCGATGCGTGTTGGACACTGACTCTTCATCTGTTTTAAATTCTCCATGCTTTCTAGGTTAATGCTATATGGAGATTGGCTGGCTATGAAGCACGTACACTTCAAAAAACATAAAGAGTTGGTGTCGGATGTTCGACATGCTCCTTTTACGTGGTTAACATTTCCGACACGTTGACCAATCCAACACGCGAATTTGATCGTGCCGGACACGGTCAAATGGTATTTTTGTAATAAAATTATAATTTTTAAAAAATTAAAATACATTTAATATTTAAAATATATTTTCTTCGAATCTTTTTTGGTTAAATTGAAGGATATTATCGGTTTTGTTTCATTTTTTTTTTTAAGTTGTTGAATATGAAATGTAATATACACTATATATATATTAAAAATATTATTTAATATTAAAACGTGTTGTGTAAAGAACCAATTCAATCCAAAAGCTTAAGCTCTTAGGAAAAGGCCAATTAATGGTTTTATATTTCTTTAACACGCCCCCTCACACGAAAGCCCATTGGGCATGAAGAGTGGATAATGCATCATGCTCAGCCAACTTGTGCTAAGAAATTCCACTAGAAAGAAAGCGAGGGGGCAGTGAGGATCGAACCCGTGACACCCAGGTTCTGATACCATGTAAAGAACCAATTCAACCCAAAAACTTAAGCTCTTAGGAGACAATTAATGGTTTTATATTTCTTTAACATGTTGAAATCTAGATTATTTTAGAATTGACGTGTCGGAGTGTGGTACGGTGATATGTTGTGTGTTGGTGCTACATAGTTGGCTGGAGAATTAGTTTAATGGTCATGCTGGTTTATATATTGTTTTTTTTCTATTGTAGGCTACATAGTAACACACTATAATGTTCAAATTAATACCCATAAATGTTCTTTTTTTTCCTTCACTGCATAATTGCCATAGATGGTTTAGTGTGTATGTAATAGTGTTATTGATCTTATGTTCAAATAAAAATTGCAACTACTTATTTACTATTTAGATGAACTTAGTATTTGTATGTTGAAAAGCTAAATTTTTTATTTTTTGTTGTTACAGTTAGTTATGTAATAAGTAGTAATAAATAGTTTTTTGAATTTTGTTGTGTCAGAACAAGGATGTAACTGATGCAATTCAGAAGGTTGCTGCTGCCTATGATTGTAAAATTTTGGAGGGTGTTCTTAGCCACCAAATGAAGCAGTTTGTGATTGATGGGAATAAGGTTGTTCTAAGTGTTTCTAATCCAGATACAAAAGTTGATGATGCAGAGTTCGAGGAGAATGAAGTTTATTCAATTGATATTGTGGCAAGCACTGGGGAAGGCAAGGTAGTTTAGTTATATTAATATATTTACCAGAATGATGCAATTTCTTATCAATTTTTAAGTAAATTTTCATGCAATCACTTGCAGCCTAAGCTGTTGGATGAGAAGCAGACAACTATTTATAAGAGGGCTGTTGACAAGAGCTATCACTTGAAGATGAAAGCATCTCGGTTCATTTTCAGTGAAATAAGTCAAAAATTTCCAATCATGCCATTCTCTGCTAGGTAATTTGATCACCTACATGTTTATAATGCTATATTCAAACCGGAGGTTTTGAATTTTACTCTCTTTGTTCTACTTTAAAAGTTGGTTCTTTTATAATAGGGCTTTGGAAGAGAAAAGAGCTCGTCTTGGTTTAGTGGAATGTGTGAATCATGAGCTCCTGCAACCTTACCCTGTCCTGCATGAAAAGCCTGGTAATATTATAGATAATCACATTATCATATTTGTGTGAGCACTGTTCAATGCCTCACATTATTGGTGTTTTTTTCAGGTGATTATGTTGCACACATCAAATTCACAGTTTTGCTAATGCCAAATGGATCAGATCGTGTCACATCTCACCCACTTCAGGAATTGCAGCCTACCAGAACAATAGATGATCCTGATATTAAGGCTTGGCTAGCATTGGGCACAAAGACAAAGAAGAAGGGTGGTGGAAAAAAGAAGAAAGGTAGAACCTTTGGACCACTATGTGCTGTCTGTCATCATGCCTTATGTTGCCCCATGCAGCTTATATTGCATCATTATCTTGCTGATTTTCATATGTATGGTTTTTATGTTGGCCCCAGTTTCTGGGAAGTAAATGTCAAATGGGGTCTTAAGAAATGATTGGTTGTTTTGCAGGTAAGAAGGGGGCTGAAGCTGAGCCCATGGAGGCAACAAATGGGGCCACAACAACAACCGAAGATCAAGAGCAAGAGCAAGATTGAATCCCCCGAAAAAATATCTCTTTTGATTTCTCTTTTGATCTCTTTCAATTTTGTTACATTTTTCATTAGGTTGTATGTGCTTGAATGTGAATTTAGTATAACTTTCGGACACCCAATGATAATGGGAATTTCCTTGTACACGTTGAAGTAGTCTTTGACCTGAATGCTCTACGCCTGATTAAAGCATATATGCCTGTTTTGTTGAGGGTATTATTTGAAAACACCAGTTTATGTTCGGAAATGTCTGTTCTTTACCTCGCTTTTGAATTAGGTAAACCAATTTACTTTGGTTTAGTGGCACAATTGTGTTGTGTATGCACCTAATTGTTAGATGGGTTAAATAAATTCTTGTCCTACAGAGTTTTTAGGGGTTGCTTTTAGTTAATATTTACGCCAATATTTTAGACTTACGATTTTAGAAGATACAATAAATAGTGTATGTTCTGCAGTTTACCTGAACTATTTATATTTATATTTATCTTCTTCTTTTTTGGGTAAATTATATTTATCTTCTTATTTAAAGTTGAGAGCGAAGTTTTACCTAAAGTATTTATATTTAACCTGTTCTAAGTATAATAAATTTATTCCCCAGAGGTCTCGAGTTAAAAGTATTGAAAATGGAGAAAATAATTGACTTATTGTCTGTACTAATTGAATTTTTGATGAACTGGTTGGAATATTTTTTATTTTTTTATTCATTAGAATGATTTATGTGAAAAATTAAGAATTAATAATAACGAGTTTAAGTTTTTAAAGTAATGTTCTGTTTTTTAAATAAAAGATAGTGTAATTTGAGTATTTCTCATATGGTAGAAGTGTAATTTTTTAAAGTATAATACATATTGGTAAATCAATCAAGAGGATAATTTCTTAAATTAAAAGAAAGAATATTGTAATTAGAGTAATGTGATCCATTCATTATTTAACATTTTAATATTGATTTATGTTTCAATTCAAATTTATAAATATGGTACTTCATAAATTTCAAAAAAATAAATCAATGATTATCATTCATTGTAAATAATGTTAATCACTACAAAAAATTATCTCTTAAGAAAGTTAATTCCTAAGTTTGTTACACTATACCTATTTTTTTTTATGTTACATTGTTTTTATTATTATATTTTTTTTAACCCAAAATGACATAAAAAATAAGTTATTAATCTCATGGGAGAACTATTAATATATATATATATATATATATATATATGGCAAAATCATTTCTGGAGCCGCTTTACGTACAACAACAACAGATATATGATTATGATTCTCCACATTTAATGCTTTCAAGTAAATATATGGCAAATATTTGATTGCTGCAACTACAGAAATGTAAATCTATCTATATATATGTAAAGAACATTGGGATACACCACCCCAAAAGCTAGCTCAAAAGATGAGAATACCGAAGGCCTTATAAACTCCACATTAGTTGTTGCACATTCAACCAATGAGGGACTATACATCTCAACACGCCCCCTCACACGAGAGCCCATTGGGCTTGAAGAGTGGACAATGCAACAGGCCCAACCTATCTGTGCTAAGAAACTCCACAAGAGAAAGTGGGGGACGGTGAGGCTCTGATACCATGTTGAATATCAAGAACAAGAAGATTTATAAGTAATCTGTGTGTCTTAACTACACAGCGGAGAGTCTATTATATAACTCAAAAGAAAGAAAATACAAAGAGATATACATGATGTGGGACTTCTATACTACTATTCTAAACTATTATTTACAACACTCCCCCTCAAGCTGGAGCATATAAATTATATGCACCAAGCTTGTTACATAAGTGATCTATCCTAGACCCTCTCAAAGACTTAGTGAAAACATCAGCTAATTGATCAGTTGAGTTAACAAAACTAGTGACTATATCTCCAGAGAGAACTTTTTCTCTAACAAAATGACAGTCTATCTCAATGTGTTTGGTCCTTTCAGGAAACACTGGATTGGAATCAATATGTAAAACAACTTAATTATCACAAATGAGAGATGTTGTGCCAATGTCTCCAAATTTGAGTTCCTTCAATAGTTGTTTTAACCAGATAAGTTCACAGGTGGTTGTGGCCATGGAGCGATATTCTGCTTCAGCACTTGATCTGGCAACTACACTTTGTTTCTTGCTTTTCCAAGAAACCAAGTTACCTCCAAGGAATACACAATACCCAGATGTGGATCTTCTATCACTGGGGGAACCTGCCCAATCAACATCTGAGTATCCCTCAACTTTGGTATGACCTTTGTTTTTATAGAGGAGACCTTTACCTGGAGCATTTTTGATGTACTTGAGGATACGGATCACTGCATTCCAATGATCTTCACAAGGAGAATTCAACAACTGACTTACTACACTGACTGCAAATGAGATGTCTGGTCGAGTAACTGTCAGATAGTTCAGCTTCCCAACCAATCTTCTATACCTTTCTGGATCTGAAAACAGCTCCCCCTGATTTGGCATAAGCTTAACATTTGGATCCATGGGGTATCGACGGGCTTAGCATTCAACAAAGTTGTCTCCTCTAGAATGTCCATAGTATATTTCCTCTGGGATATCACAATACTATCCTTGGATTGAGCCACTTCAATTCCCAAGAAATATCGTAGTCTTCCGAGATCCTTTGTCTGAAAATGATGACTGAGATGTTATTTTAACTGAGTAATGCTTTGATGGTCATCACCTGTAATGACAATGTCATCAACATATACTATCAAATAAATAGATCCAGAGTCTGAGTGGCGATAAAAGACTGAGTGATCAGCCGCACTCCGAGTCATACCAAACTGCTGGACAATGGTGCTAAACCTCTCAAACCAAGCTCGTGGAGACTGTTTGAGACCATACAGAGATTTGCGGAGTTGACAAACTAGACTGGACTCCCCCTGAGCAACAAATCCAGGAGGTTGCTCCATATAAACTTCTTCCGCAAGATCACCATTGAGGAAAGCATTTTTGACATCCAATTGATAAAGCGGTCAGTGACGAATAGCAGCCATAGTAATAAAGAGGCGAACAGACGCCATTTTTGCCACAGGGGAAAATGTATTCCCATAATCTTCACCAAACACCTGAGTATATCCCTTGGCCACCAAACGTGCTTTGAGACGATCCACCTGTCCATCAGGACCAACCTTGACAATAAATATCCATCTACATCCAACAGTAGATTTTTTCGGTGATGGCAGACGGTGGCCGGAAACTGACGATGGTGATAGTTTCCGGGAAGATTTTTACTCGGTAGACAGTGGGTCTACCAGAAAGATGCGGATCTTGTTAGGCTCTGATACCATGTAAAGAACCTTGGGATACACCACCCCAAAAGCTAGCTCAAAAGATGAGAGTGCCGAAGGCCTTATAAACTCCACATTAGTTGTTGCACATTCAACCAATGTGGGACTATACATCTCAACAATATATATATATATATATATATATATATATATATATATATATATATAAAGTTTATTTTAAAAATTTAAATAAAATGACGGAAAAAATATATTCTTTTTAATAAAATTAAAAATATATTCTTATTATTTATAATTTATTTTTAAACTCCGTATAAAAATTATTTTTGAATTTTTAATTCAAAGAAATCAATCGCATTTTTAATATTTTCAACTTCCAAATCTAAGAAGGAAAAAATATTTGTCTGATATAATTTCCTGTTATTTTAAATAAAATGATTGTATTCAATGTGTATATATTAACTCTTTATATTCTTTTTTTTTTATATAAAATTAAAAGTAAAGAGAAAATAAGAGTATCATGTAGAAGAAAAATGTAAAAATCCAACTAATTTGCATCAAAACTTTTCATATAAAATTACACAAATTGTGTCAACACTTTTCCGAAATAAGGAACATTAAATTAAACTAAACATATTTATTTCCTAGAACCCAGATAAGCAGTGACAGTGAGTGAGAGAGGGATGGTTATTCACCAGTTTCCATTTCTCTCTAATCTCAGCACTTCACACTGACACATCCACTTTCTCTCAAGCAACCGTCGCTGTTGTTCTCTCCGATCTACCTCTGTTGTTCCCGTCGTCGACGACCAATTCTCAGGTAATTTGATCCTTCTCTGATTCGCACGTGACTGCGGTTTTCCTGCCACGATTGTTGTGATTTACGTGAATGTATATGCTTAATTAGTGTCAGGTTTGGTGCAATGCCAGCTTCGGTAAGAATCAGCATTGTTATCGCGATTGTATGGTGGATCCGTTTTGTGCAATGACTGCTATATGCAATTTGTGCAAATCTGCCAAGTCTTGTGTGAAGAGTCTGAATTGGTTCTAGAAATTGACTTTGCTGGAATTTTCGTTTTAGATCCTTCTGGAAATTTCGGTTTAGATCCTTCTGGAAATTTCGTTTTCCTGGAATGAAAAACGAAATTTCTGATGCCTTCGAATATTTCCAATTTAATTTAAATTCTTTTTTGTTTATTTTATTTATTTATTTTTTTTGTATTTTTGGTGGACTAAAGTTTAGACTAGAGAAAGATACAAAATACGCGCGCATTCCGTAAAATTGGTTCTCATTTTGATTTTATATCATTTCAGGCAAAGATTCTTATTTCAAAGGTGACTGAGGAGAGAAATTCTGCTATTGACCAAAAGAAAAGGCTTCGGTCAGAACTGGTATGTTATTGATACAAAATATATCTTTGAAGCTTGCGAATTTATGCATTAGCTGTCTAGAACAAAACATTTTACAAATGAAGGGAACTCAATAGAAGCAATTGAATTCCCTAGTATTTTAAATTCCCCAGGTTTTTCAAATGCATCATCCAAACACATACATAAGAATGCTTAAATGCCGCTAGTAGGTCTTTACATGCATTTTCACTGCTGAGTCCTGACATTTTCTGTGGGTCTGATTTGCATACAAATTTGGGTTCAATGAGTGTGGTTCCATTGGGGAACTTGTGTTATCCGATCTCGTTTGAATTTCTGCTAGAGAGAGTATCATAATTATTAGTGTTTGCTTCTAGGGTTGTGAAGCTTGGTGCTTGTTTATTCTGGTTGGACTTGCGTTTTGGTTTTTATTTTAGTTTTCTGATCTCAGCCTTGGAAATAGTTGATTGTGTGCCATGGCTTGATCAAATTTCTGAAAGTGTACAGTGCATTGGTTTAAACTTTAACTTTCTCCAGGTAACCTGTTTGACAATTTATTTATCCCCTTTCTTCTTAAGTCTTGAATTTTTTTTTTTTTTAATTGTAACTCTTTTCATGCTTCTATTAATTTTCTGATTCATGTTCTTCTATAGCTGATGTTCCTTTTCAAGGAAAGATAAACCACTTGAGTCTTTTTCAGAAATTGTCAAAATTTCTCTCATGTTGATTTATATTATTATATTTCCTTTCTTCTTTTCAGTTCGTGCTTCTATTTTGAGGGGGGCCCGACAACCCACTGCCCACTGAAGAGAAATTAAAAAAGGAAGATGAAATAAACTCACACAGAAATGGCAGCAAAGCAAATGGAAGAGGTTCAGAAGAAATTGGCAATGCTAAATTACCCAAGAGCAAATGCCCCTGCCCAGTCCCTCCTATTTGCGGGCATGGAGCGGTATGCCCTTTTGGAGTGGCTCTTCTTTCGGTATCTTCTTATCTTCATCTCTTAAAATCTGTTCTCTGTTTGGTATTTGTTGGAAAGTATCTGTTATTTGGAGTTAATATCTTTTATTTGGGGGAAGTATATTCACTGTAAATAATTAGGATTTGATTTGTATTAGTTTTCTAGTTTTCCTTATTTCCTAGTTTCTCGATATTAGAGATTGTAAATCATGTATTTATTCAACTGAGGATTTCCTCAAGCAATTCAGAAATCCTATTTACTACCCTCTACCTACCATGCATAACCTTAACTATTCCCTCTTTTATGATGTTTTACATTGTCTCTCTTTAGCCTATGTACGGCACTACTACTAACACTTCTGGGATGTATTGCTGTCCATGTTTAGAAGAATTGATCTTTGGTACTCGTACTTACAACAGGCTATTAGGTGATAAGTCACCCTTTTCTCAACAAAACTTACATGGGGATGTCCTTGATCGTGATGAGGAGACAGCTCGAATTCAGTGTAAGATTTTCATTCTTTGTTTTGAAAATTCTAAATTGGCTAGTTGATATCTAAGATTTCATTGTGATTAATTTGTGCTTTGTGCGAAATTCTGCATTTGTACATGACATTAACTCCCCATGAAACCCCGACTTGCTATAGTAGAGGTGAGAGAAATCCTTGCAGCCTTCTTTCACTTTTGCAAAGATGCGATTTCCTGGATTCAAAATTGTGACCCTTCGGTCAGTCACAAAGGAGCAGTTTTACCAATGCTCGATGCTCACCCTCTTAATTATGCATTTGTACATATAATAGTTGAATTTTTTTTTTACTCTGTGATTAAGTATTTGCTGTTTGGTTTCTTATAACATGCCATTCGAAGGTTACCATCGAATGCTGTAATTTTCTAGTTCTGTTCTGTTTATATCTTGCAAAAGATCTGCTTTATGTCTTTTCAATGCAGAATAGGACTCGGCCATTCCACATTTGTTAACTTATTGTCAATTTGTTCTCTTTTTTTTAAAAAGAAAACTCTAGTGAAAGAATCAGTTTTTTCTCCCTCTCTTGATGTAGCTGCATTTGAGTGACTGTTCACTTATGAATTGCTCTCTGTCAACTTCGCCTTTGTTGTACATCAACGCAATCTGTCTGTGTTTAGTGGCTTATTTTTTTTCAAACAAATTTGTCTCTCTTGCACTTTTTGATTGTGTCTTCTGGTAGTAACTTTGCTTCTTATGACTTATAATTTGCAGATTTGGCAGAGATTGCTAAGTTTCTGGGTATTACAACATCTGTAGATACAGAAGCCATTCAAGTTGGTAGTTTTGATTTTCTGTGGCACTATTTTACCCAATTCGTAGCTATATGATGCCTAGATGATGACTAGTTGCTGGATACATGTTTATGGAAAAGTTTTAAATTTCTTTATTTTTCTTTGTTCTATGAAGCTTTTGTAGTTTTTGAATAGTTTTGATATTCTATTTTCTATATTTCCTTTTTTATTGTATTTCTTTCTTGTATGGACAGTAGCATAAATGGTCTTGCTCTAACTGTGGACAGCACTATACTCATTGCTTTATTATTTACTATTCTCTCTCAGCTATATCCTTCTCTCTTCATTTGTGCCTACCTCCTGAATTGTTTTGTAGATGTCCCTTTTTTTGGGTAACTTTTTTTTTTCCGGGTTGTGTTTTTCTCATGCAATGTCTGATTTCGATGTGGTAATGGTTGTTAGTATTTTTGAGCCTGGCATTATTTTTGTGAAAGTTTCTTATCAGTTTATTTCTGAATTTTAAATACTGTTTTTAGTGATACCTGTTCATAATTGTTTCTAAAGAAGTGTTTAGATTGATAGATGTAGCTTCAGTGTGAAGTTTAATGCTTGTGACTACCTGGATGAAGTCTTAGGCACATTTTAGTTATCTTTATGGTCCCTTGTCTTGGTTTTCAAAGAGAGAGAGAGGGAGAGAGTTGTTATGAGGTAAGGGCTTAAGGCAGAAAGAGCCAAAGGCAATCAGGGGATTTCAGCAAAAAATCACAGGAATTAATTGGGCAGATTCTGTCTTATTTTGTGTCTAACTAACAAGTGACATTAGTTATTTGATAGCTAACCCATTGAATATTTCCCCTAAAATGCATACATAATGTTTACGGTTTAATAAGTAGAGTGAATATTTGTGCATGTCAAGAAAGACCGGAGGTTATCAGTAGGCTTGCTACTAGATTTGATATTTTTGTCTTGGATGCAGTGGTCTACCACCTTTTGGTTATATAGAGTAGAATGAAGATTTTAGGTTTTATGTCTAAATTTGATGTCCTATGCATTATAGTAATATTCATACACGTTTTGGATATGATTTACCTTGAAATCTGGTAAATATTATGCAAGTATGTAACAGGGACATGGAAACTATGAAGACCGCACTGAAATGCTTCGGCTTATTGTAGATCTCGTGGAGGCAACCATGTATGCCGATAATCCAGAATGGAGGTTGTCCGTGGTCTTATATATTTCTAAGTGATTGGTTTTGCAGAGATGGATTTGACATAAATTTGGTTTATATTCTTATTTCTGCAGTGTTGACGAGCAGGTAGCCAAAGACATCCAATTGATAGATTCCATTGCAGAAAAACAAGCTCAAATATTTTCTGAAGAATGTAAATTGTTTCCTGCAGATGTTCAGATTCAGTCCATATATCCATTGTAAAAGTTTCTTCCTTCCTTTTCCTCTTCCTATGGTTTTTGTCTTCCTATTCTGTAATTACTATTTGAGGAACATACCTTTTTTACAAGTGATGGGCTTGCCTTTGTACCTGATGTTAGCACTATATTTAACATGTTATGTACTATCTAACATGTCTATCACATTTGAACTGGATTGGTATAGATTATGGTGCATGTGAAATGTTGCTTTAAGTTTAAAAGGGAGAAATATTCCAACTACAAAATAATGAAAGTGAAGACTGTGATTGTGGGCGAGAAACTGGTATCTGATAATTTTATTCTCCTAAAATATGAACATTGTGAAAATATAAACTGATGAATGCTAATGAAAATTTCATTGTGATGCTGATAAAGGTAACCTTATGTTCAACGGCAGACAAAAGGCATAATTTTTTGTGTCAATCTTCATTTGTGTAGAATATCATTAAATATTTTGCACATTATTTTGCTCATTTAGAGCATATAGCATATGTTAAGAGTCTTGATTGTTGCAAGTGCTGCAGAAATTATTTGTTGATATGCAGCAGAAAGAAATGAAGAATCTGGTTTTGATTTATTGAATTGGGAGGGATAAAATTAAGTGAGTTTTTGTGTCATTTTTCAAAAGCTGGACAACTAGGTACTATGGCATTTGCTTTAATATCTTTTGTGTTTGGTGGTAATCCATCTGATAGGAGGTAGTTTTGATATAAAGGGTAATTGGATACTAGCTCCTTGCAAATCAGAACTAGATGTCTAACAATCTAAAATACAGAAGGTAACTAACAGAAAATAGTAAAGAAACAGAGCCTTGCCAGGTGCAGAGACCCCAATCCGGACCTATCCCTTTGCCCAAATTCTTCTCTCTTTTCTTTCTTTCTTCCCCCGTTTTATCCTTGCCCTTGCATTCTGGTGTGATACTAGACTTCCCTCCTGCACTCAGCATGTGCCAGCTGTCTCCCATGTTACTGATGTCACTTTCTCTTCTAACAGGCTCTTCATTCGGCATTTTCTCTGCAGTTAGTAATTTTCCTCATTCTCTCCAATTCTTCCCTTGTTTCTCCTTTCATAACATGCGCCCCACTCTTACTGAACCCGTTGTTCTTTTTTCTAGAGTAAAAACATGTATTAATGGTCTATATCAAACTCAATTTTTTAAAAAATAAATTCTCTGTGGTCACTTTTCAAGGGAAAACTAAGTTCAAACTCTGTAGGAGATTAGTTTTTGCCTGATCATTTTTATTTGACCCTAAACTTCCCAATCTTTACCTCATCTCTCTTTGAGTTTTTTCAAATTTGTAAACTGATTGATGTTTGATTTTGAATTAGTTTAAACTTAGTTTTATGCTAACTAACTAATATGAAACCAGTCCAAAATTATGCAGATTTTAAAAGTAGTCCCAACTCGAAAAATTTAAAGCCAGTTTATTAATTTGCCAAACAGCCCATGGATTACAAGACACTTGATGAGATTTCATGCATCTTCTTGTTAGAGTAAGAGCTAGTCAGTTAAGACTTGTATTAAGTCTACTATGTCAGCCATAACAGATTTAACTACTTTCTGTTCAGTAATTTCCTCTGATTCAGTTAAGAGTCCTTCAACTGTTCTTAACTGACTATAACATCTGTATAAAGGCATGTTCTCAGACCTGAGTTCAATGAATGAGAAACAAACACTTCAGAATTCAGATAAATCCTTCAGTTTCTTTCTCTACCCTCTTCTAATCTGTTTCTAGCATTTTATTCTGTTTCTTTCATTTTCTTACCAATCTCCAATTTCAACACTTGTTAGAAATTAGGATGTAATAATTAGTTTTCAAAATAGTAGGATATAATAATTTCTTGAAAATGCAGATAAAATATGACATACTAACATACTCTGCCAATGGCTGTTTCAGGGGAATTTCCATTTGTAGTATGCAGAGAGACTAGATAGTTTTGATGCTTTATTGATACTTTCATTTTCATTATTTTCTACCTTTTTCTGTCTTGGAGGATATTTTTTCCTCCCCTTAATTATGCATTCTCTATATCTGTCAAAGTAACTTTTTGTATTAAAAAAATTAAAGCAAAGTACTGCATGGAAACTGAACTTGATAGAAACCGACACTTGTTTGCTTTCTTTAGTAAGTATTGGTAGTGAAGCTGCATATACACTCACCAACTTACACATTAAACATCTAAAAAATTAAAGTGTGATGCCATCACTTGAGAGTTTTATTTGGTTTTAAGGTTATTGTGTTTACTTGTCTTTAAGTATAAAACAAACAAATCCTGCTCCCTCTTTTGATTTGGCTGTTGAATTTTATTCATTCAATATACCTATAATATGATTTAAAATTGGAAGCTCATTTGATGGAAATGGTTTATCTTTTACGCGTAAAAGAACTTTCTGTCTCCTGAGATGTAGTAACATAATGTTTCTTTAATCAAACTATTTTCAGGCCAGATGTTTCTGAGCTGGAGTCAAAGCTTTCTGAACAATCAAAAATATTGTTGAACCTTCAACAAAAAGTTGATGACTTGGCGTCCAAGGTTTACTGAACATCTTAATTCATTTCTAGTCTTCTAATAATCATATGATATTTGTATGAACTGCTGGGAACTAATTAGCGGCTTGAAATCTTTCCTCCTAGTTATTTTTTTTCAGCCATATTATTTTACCATGTTAATGTTCTTTATTTTCCGTTTTATTGATATTACCAAAACAAGAGTATGATAATACTATTTTCTGTTTCTAGGTAAATATTAAAAAATATCAAATTTCGGTTCACCTGGTTATCTTCCTTGATCCCATTTCTTAGCTTTTCTTGTTCTTACTTTTTCAATGCTTTCCAAGGTTTTACTAAACAAGGGCATGGACTAAGTTTCTCATTGACAACTCATTCTGTTTTTGTTTCCCTCTGCTGCTGATCCTCGTTAAGTTGATCTTTTTTGCAGTAGTCAGGGATTTCTTATTGAGACCTACTGTTGTGTAAGTATCGTTGTGTAGATTAAGTTAGGCAACAGGTCTTAGACTAATCTACCAAAAGCTAGAATTACTTCAGTATTTGGATATTGGAGTCAATGTTGCTCATTTGTTATTTTTCTCTCATCATTTTGTGTGTTATAATATGGTTAGTGTGATTAGTATTAGTTAGAGATTAGTTGGATTAGTTTGCTAGTCAGAAATTAGTTACTAATTGGTTGCTTTCTCTTGTTCTAGATATAAGCCACATTATTAGCTTGTTGTAAACACTTTTTACCATTCAATCCATTTTAAGATTTTCCTTTCTCATTTTCCCTCAACTCTCTCTAGCTGTAGCCATGTTTCGCAATGTTGTGTGCGCGTCTGTTTATTTTTTTTTACCTGTTTTTTAATCTCTTATTTTCTAATTCCTGATTTTTTTTTTAATGAAGAGACTTTGTTATTTCTATGTTCCAGATGGTCCTTTTTTAGTTATTTTCCTCTTCATTTTCCCCTCTTCTTCTTTTCCCCTTCTTTTTTACTTATATATATATATATATTACTATTTTATTTATTTATTTCTATTTTTCTTTTTTCAACCTTTTCGTATCTTTTATTTGGGTTCATCTACCACCGACCCCAATTAATTTGGGATAAAGGTGTTGTCGATGTTGTTGATGATGTAATGAAGAGACTTTGTGTCAATACATTTCTGAATATTATTTTTGTATTTATTTCATAATTGCTATCTTTTCCTGTTTGTAGCATGCTTACAATCCGGATGAGGAGTATACTGAAGTGGAATCCCAACTGCGGGCACATTTGGAATCTTTCTTAGAAACAGCTAGAACATTCAATTTGATTTACACCAAGGTTTGACCAGGCTTTGCTCTTATGTGTTTTGCAAACCCTGTATCTAATTTGTTTGAACCCAGTCAAATAAAGATTTAGCATATTATTTATAATTGAAGAAACAATCATGGCATTGAATTGAACTATAGATGCTTGGTAATTTAAATTTTTTGGTTTCAATTGGTCAGGGACATTGTATACTTCTAAGTATCTCATAATTTGAGTAGCTAGACCAGAAAAACTGGTTCATCTAGATTGATGGTGTCTGGTCCCTGTTGCCATCAGGTCATAGAAGTAGAATGTTTATAACTGTTACTGTAATAATCTATTTTGTCTTAAACTTAGTAGGTTGTCGTGTAAGTTTTTCAACATTAATTATAAATATATGCCTATAGTTCAATGGCTGTACTGATATGTGTGTGTGTTAAGACTCTATTAGTTTTGTTAACATTTGCATTTGAGGAATTGAAAACTTCAAATTGGGATACTTAATCAAATGATTCTATTGTACTAATTTTCATGGTGCTGATACCCATTCCTATGCTCTACACTTGGGCTAGAAGTGAGTTGAGCTAACTTGTGAGTAGGAGACTATTTTTGAGTGATATGATGAAGCTAAAGTTTGTATGTCGTTTCATGTACATTTGTAATACTAGGAATCATATGATCTAGAATTTCCATAGAGATGACTAGTGAAGGAGCCCTTAAACAGTGACCTGAATGTGCAAAAGATGACTTTTTAAGTGATCATGTGATATTTAAATTTTTAATCTTGACCATCCATATGAGATTGAATAATCAGGATTAGCTGCTCTAACAATACGTATGTTATCTGGGGAACCTAATAAAAGATTGCTTTTGTGTAGGAAATTCGTCCATGGACACACATGATGGAGGTTCCACAACTTCATGGGTTTGGACCAGCTGCCAACCGTTTATTGGAAGCCTACAAGATGCTTTTGAAGGTAACCTGCCCATGCTAGGCTTAAATGTATTTTCTTAAAACCTATGATACTGTTTAAATTATTAGAAATTTACAACCGTGAGGTGATGCTAGACATGATTCTAAATTCGTTACAGAAGTACATGTTAACAAATGTGGAACACCTTTTATTGCTTCAAGCTAATCATTCTTATACATAAATTCATTTGTTTATATGTCAGATGGTCATGCTTGATTGTGTTTTTCACTGTCTGTTTCTCTTCAATCCTCCGATTTCCCTACTCAAGTTGAATTTGCTCATTTGCATAAATTCATTCTTCTCATCCTCCTTACTCCTCCTTTCTAGACTTAAGCTATTAGCCCTATTTTTGGTGATGGGTCAAACTAAATACCCTGTCAGAATGTCAAATGTTGGTGAAAGTGTAAAAAAAAGGGAGAGACAGTATATGACAATCCCATCTTGAAGTTTAGTCAAATTTATTTTTGTTGACTAATCTGATGCCAAGTTTTTTACTAAATGATATTTATACAGAATAACCATTCTTCCTTGTCGTATATTGCCTTGATATGTTTGTACCTCAAGTTCTTGATTTTGTATTGAACTTGAAATAGAAATCGAATGAGGGTTAAGTTTGCTAGCTTCAGGGGACTCTGTTGGTGTTTCTGCTCTTTCATTACGTGGTCAACTACGTGATCAACTATTATCAATGGGTTGACCCTAATTGGTTTGGGATATTAATATCAAGTGCAAAATTATTAACTTGCGTTTTTTATTTATTAGATTTTGTAATTACTCTGGTAAAATGATCTTTTCAATGTAAATTTCAAATGAGTCAAAAATGGGTTTAATCAATATTGTAGATCCATTTATACACAATTAAGTAAATGGGTCAATTTCAAGTTTCAAGGTTTAACTTGGATTTAACCCACTTATCAATCGTGTTTGGTGGTTCAACTCCTGTTTTTATCTGAAATTGTCTACAGCAAACACAAGCTTTGTATGATAGAGTCGACTTATAGTTATAGTTATTCTTGTTGCGTCAGAAATTGCCACCCCAAAGTAAAACCAGTTTGACCTCCTTAAGGCTCCTCCCAATAACATTACATTGTCAAATTAAACTTTAACCACTCTCCTTATGTTGTATGGGCCATTTGGACTTACTATGCATTATTTATAATGTACTTGTGTTTGGATTCGTCAACACCGGTCTAATAATTTTGTACATTTCATCTTCTTATATCACAAGAACCTACATGAAATTTAAACTATTATTGTGATAAGTCACTCCCCTGAAATCTCGACTTAGAGGGGTGAGGGAAATCTCTCTACACAATCTTACAGTTATATATATATATATATATTGGGAATGAGGAAACTATTATTTTGATCGTGGTGGATATTTTTAGTTGTTTCAATATTATATTATCACTTTAATAAATTTTGATGGAGTTAACTACTCCAGGTTCCTCATGTATAGTGCCTTATTAATATAGCAGAGTAAAATTACTGTTGGTTTCCATTAAACATTGCCCAGTTTCTTCAGCTGGTATGTCATGTCAAATGAGATAATTGAGCAGTTAAAGGCAGCTATGTTTAAATAATATTCTCGTTGACTTAATAAAATCTTGTATTTTTATGTTTTTTTGCAACAGTTTTTGGGTAACCTGCGGAATCTTAGAGACTCACATGCAGCTCTTGCTATTGGATCATCTGAGACATCCGAAGGGCCTTCTTCTGTCACAAGAATAATATCTGAATGTGAATCTGCATTGACAGTCTTAAATCGCGATCTTGGAATTCTATCTGCTTCCATTGCTCGTGAACAGGGAGAGAAGATGAGCATTGGATGAAACAATATGAGAAATGAGAGATTAATCCTTAATTCTTATTTTTTGGGATTTTGTGATCTTGTTGTGCATAGTATTCATATTGTTGAATGTGGTGAAGTCTGCATAGTTGTATTATCTAGACTAAAATTTATAAATTGCAGTTTCATTTATTGAAAAAACACTACCTAAGGTTGTCTGTAAATGTAAGGGTGTCAGATTTTGCGATTTAGTTTTGGAATATTTTGATGTACCCAATATTGGTTCAGTGATGTTTGCACGTTATAAATTACTCGTGCACTTTTAAAAGTCACAGCATCACTTTTAATCCTAGGCGATTCAAATGCAACTTTTTGCATAAATGCTCGACACTCTTCGTCGTCACTCTTTATACGCCAAACATCCAAATGCCTCTTTTCGTATTGATCAATGTAATTTTAGGCTATATTATCTCATGCCAGGGTGTATCCCCTGACCCAAGTAAAATTCAGGCACTGGCTCAGTTGAATTTCAGAATGTAAGTTAATATCAAATAAACCCTAGAGCTTCAACAGAACATATAGTGTATTGATGTTGTAAAAAAGAAGGGTCAAAGAAAGTCCACAATTTTGAAAGAATACGTTTGGCCGAAAGCATGAAAGAAGAAGACTATGACGAGTGAAGACTTTATATTTTCATTTATAAACTATTTGTTACAATTTTCATGGACTGTTGAATCATGTATAAAAGTGAAGAGAATACACACAAACAAGCATCCTAGTACATTTCCCAGGATACTTCTTTTTAGTGTTGATAGTTCATTAAATGTGTGAAGGAAAGTGATGCATGAACATGTTTAAATATCTTCATAGCATGCATTACCAAGAGTATAATCTATAGTGTCATAAATTTGGTTCCCCAAGCTTAAAATGAAAAAAAAAAAAAAAAACATGGAACCTATTACAAAACAAAAACATATTGGAGTAACCTAGGACTAAATAAAAAAGTTATCCCTGATTAGAGGAGTCTAACTAGGGATGACAAAATGAGTTATGACTTGTGGGTCGACCCTTGACATGATACATCAAAATGTGTGTCGTGTCGACCCATAGTATTAAATGAATCATGTCTAGATTTGAAAAAATATCACAAATTAGTATCGTGTTGTGTTAAGAATTTTTTTTCTGTCAAAAAGAGAGTTAAAGATATAGAAATTTTGACACAACCGGTTGTGGGTTACAAGTCAACGTACCCATTTTATTCAGGTTTTCTTGCTACTTTTAATTTTTTTATAAAAAAAATAAATTTTTAATATTTGCATGTCAACCCCTGTGACCTGCAATCCACTTTGGATTGTGTCCGAGTTTCAATTTTGATCCGTGAATGAAAATGTGTCATGTTTGGGGTAGGCGGTTCGACCTGCAAATTAAACCTTGACACAATACGAATTAACTCGCCAACACGTTTTGCCACCCTAATTCTAACCATCAAGGTGCCAAAAGATTTTGACATTTCTAACTATTTCATTACATTGCATAGGATGTTCAAAGTTGTCCATTTCAGGCGTTACTATCTTTATATCTTATCTTGCAACCACCTAATCAACTGGTTGCATCTAACTCTAGCCTCTAAAATCGAATTGCCAACTAAGCAAACCTCCAAAAGAAACTTTGGTCATGACTAATTCGGGTTGATTCAATTGTAGTTAAAATTTAGCATAACCATAGTTAATTTAACTATAATAGCCCATATTAATTAATTAGTAAATCAAGTGTAATTAATTAATTAAGCATGTTTTAGTGAGTGAAATTAAGTATAAGACTTAATTAAATGAATCTGAGTCACTTTGGAGTTAAAAAGTGTACTCAGTGAAAATTAAGGGGTATAAATGGGTACTGGCAAAAGTACCCAAAATATAAAAATAAAAATAGTAATATTCCTAGAATAATATTCCAGACTTTTGGGTAAAGTTTGGTAATTATTGGAGTTGAATAGATAGACGAACCAATACCCGCTTAAAGCCACTTAACCTATGTTAAGTGACTTAAGCCACCAAAGAACCCAAATCCCCCCATTTCCCCGTCGAAGCCAGAAACGGAAAAGGAGAAAAGAAGAAGAAGGAGAGGGAGGGAAAGGAAGGAAGAGAGAACCTAGGAAGATTGGAGCTTAGAGCATGTTATGGAAAATGCTAGGAATGTCATTTAATCGGTGGAAATGAGCCTAGATAGTCATTTGATAATTGTTCATAATATTGGAAAATTCATGCTTGGATTGGTTATTATTCTAGCATGTTGAACAATTAGTGAGTTGAATGATTGATTGCGTCCTTGTGATGTCTAGGATTGAGACATTTGGACCAACCGTGAGTGATCAACCATTGGAGCAAGCTATGGAGCTTGATTAGCTCCATTGGATAGGTGAGTTCATGCTTATGTTGGTATGATTGTATAGCTTGGTTGATAGCTATAAGATGTTATTGGATGCAATATGTGTTGATTGCATTAAACCTTGTGTAGGTTTTGTTTGAGAAGTGAAGTATTGTAATTGACTGACTGTGGAACCTGTTGGTGGTGAACAAAGGTCAAGTTGAAGCTTGAGGTAAGCCTTCGGACCTTGGGTGTAATTCCCTTGACTGTTCTACCAAGCCCTGAAAGGGTGGAGGTTGTGATTGTGTATATAAATGCAATAAAATAGTGTAATGCTTTGTTATACGTATGTGTATGCATTTGGTGTGGCATAGGATGGTGTTTCCCTATGTTGGTATGTGGCATGACGATGCGTAAATCATACTTGGTAGTTAGCTGGCCAGTAGGACTATTTGCATCTGAGTTTCCTTAGGACAGCTTGAGAGCTCGAGGGATTTCTCCTGGAGATGTTATTGCACTTTGCATAGATATGTATTTACTGCATTATTATTGTTATTGCTATTACACTGATATGGAACTGTGGGGTGGAGAGATGCTCCAAGGACCCCTGGTTTACTGGATATATTCGTATATCTCACCCCGTGTTGTGGGGACCCCCTTTCAGGTAAGGATGCTGCAGGATCCTCTGGTGGCAAGTGGCCATATCTGGATTATGCATGAAATGTGGCATTACTTTTGAGTTTATGCATGCCTTTTGTAGTTGACATGTATAGGATTTATTTTGAAAGCCCTTGGTCATTTGTATATCTTGATTCATTGGAAGAACTTAGCCTATGCTCATGCCTTTGGTTACACCTTTTGTTGATGGGAGCCAAGGGAATGATCATGGTGTTTTGTAAGCTAAGTTCTATGGCTTGTAAAGGATATGTAATGTAAATGATGCTTTCTTGAAATTCATTATATGCATGCTTGTTATGTATTGGATGATTGAGTTGGTTGAGCTGAAAATCAATTAGGTACCCCTTTGTTTAAATTGGTAAACGATGAGAAAACAAAGGTTATGCTGCCCAAATTCTAGCTAAATCTCATGAAGAGAGGTTGGATGAGTGCTAGGATTTAGTTTGGGGCATAGACAATTGGGGTTTGTGATGGGGATGCTCCTTCCCCTAGGATTGGAGTTGAAAAATGTGGGAATTGGAATTCCCTGGCAGCGCGCTGAAGCGCCCAGGAGCGCGCCCAAGCGCCCTGTTGCCCCTGCGAGTGCCAAGGCATTCTGCCTCCTCGCGCTGGAGCGCCCAAGTGGGGGCTTGAGCGCCCAGGATTGCGCGCTGGAGCGCCCTGGCGTGCGCTTAAGCGCCCTTTGCTGCAGAAAGTTGGGTGGCTCACTGCCCCCTCGTGTTTTAGCGCCCAGGGTGGGGCTTAAGCGCCCAGGGTTGCGCGCTTGAGCGCCCTGGCCCGCGCTTAAGCGCCCTTAGCCACTGGAGGAGGAGATGCTTCTGTCTCCGCGCGCTAAAACGTCCCAGTGGGAGCTTAAGCGCCCAGGATAGCGCGCCTGAGCGCCCTGTTGCGCGCCTAAGCGCCCATCCACACTGGAATGTCTGATGTTTACTGCCTCCGTGCGCTTTGGCGCCCAGATGGAGGCTTTAGCGCCCGATAGCGCGCGCTTGAGCGCCCGGTAGCGCGCTGAAGATCGCGGGGCCTGTGACCAACACTCTCTTGTGTTGCTTCAAATTGTCCTAACTTGGGCTACAGTGCTCCGATTCGAGCGCGGTTTGAAGCCACGGGTAGCTAACGAAGAAACCTACAACATAGTAGAGGTTGTGAATTAAATAAGAAGTAAATGAATGGTTTAAAAATGGAAAATGAACATGATGTTAAGCTTAATTTATCTGTTTCCGCAAGGTAATATGGTTATGATCACGAAATTGGGTATTATGAGTTCGGTACGTTTTAAAATGAAAAATTTACCCGGATTTTAATTGAACCCATGTGATTGTAACTGCGCTTAATATCATATTGCGATGTTAACAAACCGGTTCTAGAACGGGGTGTTACATTTTATGGTATCAGAGCAGTTTCGTCGGAAATAACTGTTAGCTATTGTTGAGTATGCTTAGTGTTTGATGCTTTATAGTTGTTTTAGTACTCTGTATGATTATTGCATTGGTGATCACTAAGTGTGGGCCTGATCAACTCACTTCTTTGTGTAACATGTGTAGTGACATGACGAGGAACCGAAACAACCCCGGACCATCAAACACCAATACTCAGCCAGAACCTGTTTTGGCTGCTTTTGTGAGGCCTAGAAGTGGCCGTGGGGCAACGGGCGTACAGCCTGATCCCGTAGCGAAGCTCTTGCAGCTGTTCAGAGGGAGTTGGCTGCTAGCAGGCAAGCCAATGAAAATCTGATGAAAACAAATGAAGACTCGCGGACTGCTATGGCCGCAATGATGACCGAATTGAGGACGTTGAGGGGTCCTAGGCCCGTGAACCGGCAACCTACTCCTCCTCCTCATACAGCTACGCCTTCTCCACCTCCTTCACAGGAAGAGGGTGGAGTAGGTAACAATGAGGGTGAGGGTAGTCACCACTCTGGAAGTCGGAGTCATCACACTGAGGTTCGTCAACCTCGAGTGGAAAATGTTGGTGATCAGGAAGTGGAGGAAAGGAGATTGATGGCTTTCCGAAAACACAAACCTCCTTCTTTTAAGGGAGGCTATGAGCCAATGGCGGCTGCCAAATGGCTCCAAGCGATGGAGAAAATATTCAGGGTGATGAGGTGCCCGGACGCAATGAAGTTGGTCTACTCCGTGTATATGCTGGAAGAGGAAGCTGAGGATTG